TTCATAATATAGCAACTTTTTATTCGTAATTTGACAGGAAATTGTTCAAATCTCTAAAAATGCATCATTGTAAATCTCTGAAACTTGTATTAGAGAAACTAAAGTTGAAGGAATAGAAGAAAATTTAAAAATATAAAATTATATATATATATATTTTAGGAAGAATTCAAATCCATAAATCTATGAAAAATTACGAATTCATCATTCTAGCAATTCTACTCTGATAATTCCAATGTTGAACTATTCGTTTACAATTATTCGTCCACAGGAAATGTCACTTTCTTGGGAAGATAGTGATTGATAAGTTATCCTTCAATTAAGAAAACTATAATAATTGTGGGCTCCACAGCAAAGAAAGAGCTATGCCAATAGTTGCGTCGTAAGATGTTATGGCTTTTACGAAAAGTAGCGTTGCAATATAGTTTGGTTCAATTTTCGTAATTAAGACTTGTATCTTTTTATTTTTTCCATTTTTTATTAAGATTCCAGAAGAAGTGACTGTCTTAAGTAATTCATATAAATATTTTATTTGCGATAGTAGTATTTTGAAGTAATTAATTATATTTAGAAACGATACGTGTAGTTGCAATATATTCGTATTTCTTACAAAATTGTACGAGGATATTGATTTCATCTAAAAAGGAAATGGTACTCCAACATTAGCTCTTGGCACAGCAAGTGGGGTCACTCACTCAAAGACCCCAATACATATCATTTTTATACAGTTAAATATCCATTTAAAATATTCGTTTGCCAAGGTCGAAGGCCAAGTTGAGTATAGAATTTAATTGTATAAAAAAGATATGTGTTTTCTTTCCAATTTTAAAATACATTTTAAAGGTACACGTAACATGCTTTTTCCTCTCCTGTTTTCATTTCAAACTGCACACATCTTTCTTAAAAACACACACGTATGAAATATGTGTGAAAAGAAAATATATGTATTTTTTATTTTCTTTTCTCATTCCAAAGTACATACCTTTTTTTAGGAAAATACGTATAAAATATGTACGAAAAGAAAATACATTTTAAATTTTCGTATGTTAATGGTCATGATAATAGCTAGATATCGAGGGATACCAGAGTTAATAAAAAAATCTCATTTTACAGCACAGCTCCTTCTTACATCGAATTTTCCAATTGTCTATCATTTGTATTTGTAGTTGGCAGTTAAATATTGATGCAACGAATTTACGCATTCAGTTATCGCGTTTATAAGTAGGTAGATACATTCGTAGAATGAACTCGTAGACTTTGGTAACACGCGTCAATCTTTTAAGCTTAGGTTCGCTATATCGTTCTTTGTTTTAGTATCGATTAAGCATTATTTATTTTATGATTTTTTCCAACGTTAAGCAACTTTATTTTCTGCACCCAGCATTCGATCGACGAAACGAATTTATTCGATGGCCAATATTTTACAACTCTTTTCTACTCTTTTTTCATTCTTTTCCATGCCAATCACATACCGAAAAACGCTTCTTAATCATGTATCAACGTAAACGTCAAAAGATTCTTTCGATTTGACGTTTACACGGTGAAATAATTCGGTGTAAAAAAATAAAAAAAAAAAAAGTAGAGAAACATCGTGAAACGCACATATATTCGTGAACACGATGGTATCTAAGAACTTGACTCAAATGTTACTGTTAACAATTCTCATTCTGAGAATTATAGCACTGTTAACAATTCTCATTCTGAGAATTATAATACACACATCTTTTGTCTTCATTCCTCGTCTAAAATTCGATATTTCAACCATCTCATCAAATTACAGAGGTGTGTAGATTATTGTTGTAGACTATATCAATTTTTTTTCAATTTCGTCAACTTTTTATATAAACACCGGCCAAAAGTTTTGATGCACTTTCATTGAATTAATTAGTTTAATATTTTTTTATATGAAAAAATATTAGAACATTTATTTGTTTGACGTGTAAAGTCTATAATATATATTCTGTATGTTCTACAGTATTAGAAATGAAGTATCAGAGACGTCGTTCATACAATTAACGTATCGATCAATTTATTTTCAATACAAAGATTTTCCTATTTTCTTACTTTATGGTTCATCTTTTTATATATATTCATTAATTGAGATCGTAAGTGAAGCAATATGAAGAATATTAGAGTTTCAGTAATGTTTCTAAGCCTAATAATTAAATTGCGAATTTTTACAGCTATCAAATATTAATAATTGAATTGTACGTTAAAAATGTGCCATATGCATCCATAATACGAATTATTATAAAAACACATGTTACACGAAAGCTTATCTTGCGCTTCACTTGCTCTCAGTTGTGTAATGTTGCCTCGTGCTAAGGAAATTTGAGATGCAAAAATTCAAAAAAAAAGTATATAAAAATATAGTGCTTGTAGAGACAGATTTTTTTCTTAGACTCTATTTCATATTTCTAAGAACGAGCATAAAGACCCGTAGTCGACCAACAATCTACCCACCTCTGTACGAGCGTAAAAACAGTAAAATACGTAAAACAGTTTTACATTTCGATCGCCTTGTCACAACAAGTCACGCGACAAGTTTCCTCAAGCATCATCGGAGCAGCGTTGAACCGTAGGTTGCGCGTAGAACCTTTTTCAGAGCTCGATCGATCTCATCGGTCGAGAAGAGAGACAGACGAGTCGTCGCCTAGGAAGCGGCGGTTCAAGGTTTCGGCGCGTTCACACCGAATTGTTCGCCAACGAGACGAAAAGTGTTCGCCGAACGAAAGGGAGGGCCAGTGGCCAGTGTTCTTTCCTCGTACGAGCGATCGCCTAACGAAAGATTGCATGCCTCGACAGAGCAACGTCAGCTGCCAGCGAGCAGCAGAGGGTGGCTGCAAGCTGCCGCAACCAGGAACCCACGGGCTGGTTCGCGTTTCCGCTGGCGAACTCCTCGGCAGGACCCACGAGGAGCTGGTGCTTCTGTTGATCCAGCTACGCCGGCAGAACGCAACCATCTACAAAGCAATGGAGACTTGCCAGATGGAGATCGAGGCACAGGTCCGAAGACATTTTCAGAAACTCATTTGGGACCCGATGGTGCCTTCGTCAGAGCCGATGGTGTCGCCGCTGATGTCGTTTCTGTCCCTTCGATAAAAGCAATGGCATTCCTTTCATTACCATCAAATGCTTTACAGGAGTATTGTTCATAATAGAGTGGTTCATTTCACTTGTCAAACAACAAATTTGATGTACTCTTTTGGGGGATGTTTGATCGTTGTGTATGAAATGGTCGATTTTACAGTTGAATGAAGATCTATTATTACATTCACCATTGGATTAAAAGTTATGCTTCTCCAGTGGCGTAAAAAATCAGGCACAAAAAATTATTAACAATGATCAATTAAAGATTTTCATTGTAATACATTTTAATAGCATCCATTTTCATATTCGAACCATT